TGTAGCAAGTCATTGCATCAGACTGTGAAAAAATCACAGAAACGTTTTTGGTTGCCTGATATACCCACATTGGTAGCCTAAATATGGAAACAATTCTGGAAGTTTCAGATCAACAATTTTATTCTTCGTTTGTAAATTCTTAAGCCAAGGATGAATACTTCCATCCAACAGCCAGGAAAAATGTATCAACAAACAAAAACATGATTTGTTTAACATTTTTCTTCTCTAGCTTTTAGATAGAACTCTTGGCTTTACCGCTCCCGATTCAGGCACACATACTACTCACAACAAGACCAGCATCGGGTGGCTCAATGATATTCGTCCTGCCCAGAATTGTTATGAACAGAATGTTGAAATTACAAGAATGGGAGATAAGGCGGAGAAGCCTGGTACCACTTCGCTGCCTTTCTGCGAGCACCATGGCAACCGGGACCCAGATGTTGGACCTTTGCGATTCCAGGCCTTTAAAGACATTACCATCGGAAGTGAATTACTGGCGTGGCCGGACCTTTTACTGGGCCTCTCAATCGGCTTGCCTTTTTTGACCATCCAACACATAAAAAGTGAGGGCATTCTAATGCTACTACCGGTATTTTGCTACTAGCAATGGTGTGGCATAAATGCTATGGCGTCATTTTACACCAAAGGAAACAATTAGCCTTGATTACATTGGAGCATTGCATCTAGTATAATGTATAGTGATAATTAAAAGCATTTGTTATGAGGTTCCAGATCAGGTTGTCCAAAAGCCAGTGCATTTTAAGAACTCGCTGCCTTAAACTTAAGTGAAGAGCCCATCTGAGCAATGGAGCTTTAAAAAACCATTTCAGGTATGCAATACTACGTCCTAAATGGGATAGTTTGGGTTCTTGATATGGCTAGAGGCTGATTACGAGAGCAGCGTCATCATCTTGTAGAATTCAGCAGGGGTCTGCATACTTATGTGGCATTCAAGCAGCCTCCATAGACGCGAGGCATGAATGTCGATGCAGTGTCACAAGCGAGGTCCCATGCCACCAGCGACTAAAAGAGCTGATCGGAGGGAATCCCCGACATCGGGTCAAATGATTAAAAAGGGGGAACTAGTCGAAGTCTAGTAAAGGCTAGAGAACGTCCAGACCTGCCCTAAAAGAGCCGAAAATGGATTTTAGTAGGTGACTGTTGCAATGTAGCCCTCTAAGGTTGCTTGTTTTGAACAACAGCGAAAGTAGACGGGACTGTAAATGCGTGCTTCTACCACGCGATGTTCCAACCCAAAATAGTAGAATTATTCAATCAATTTAATGGTTCATTAACCGGGAACCCCTTCACTGTTGGTTTGATCAATGGGCGGGCTTATTCCGAGCAACCCTCTGACCTATAGTAAGGTCATCAAATTGCACAGCCAGCGGGAATTTCGCCTACCGTTATTTTGGTTAGTAAAAAAGAATAACACTTTAGGTCCCACATGCTACTACTGCACGGAGTGCGGCCTCGGCTTCGCTCAGCCCAATGCCCTCAAATCACATCTTTTTCTGGCGGCTTGCGGGACGGGCGGCCGGGAGGTGGATACAAACACGCGGACAGAAACGCTCCGGCATACCTGCACCTTCTGCGGACGACGCTATGCCCGACGCTACAGTCTTGTGATCCACCAGCGCACCCACACTGGGCACAAGCCCCTCATCTGTCGGGTGTGCGCCCGACGCTTCGGCGACCCCTCAAATCTAAACAAGCATCTACGAACTCACGGTGTGGGAATTGGGGGTAGTAGTAACAGTGGAGTGCGAAATCCCTATGTCTGCAGGACCTGTGGAAACGTCTCCGCCAGGAGGAGAGATTTCGAGAGGCACATGAAACGTAAACATGAAGCCGAGAGAACTTGACATTTCCCACTTTTTTGTCGTTATAAAATAGTTGATTCTGTGTGCGCTTTGACTGCGGTGATCAGTGCCTACTAGCTAGCTTAGTAAGTAGATGCAAGGAAGTTGCAACCAGTTCAATCTGTACCCACCTAAGTATCTGATTTATCACCTAGACCTCCATCAACCTACACCTTTGATGACTTAAACGTCCGCATAAATTAATTGAGCCATGTGAATGAATAAATGCAGACTTAAGAGATGTTGCTTTCAAAGTAGGGATGGCTGTAGCTAGTCTTTAATAGGTGCGTCGGTAAGTGTTAGATCTATACGTCATTTTTGGTCAAAGTGAAAAACACTGAGATAATAGCAAGTGATCCCTATAGCTGAGGAAGACGTAGGTTAATTCCGAAAAAGAGGTTCTAGGATTAGCCATTCACAGTTGACATCGTTGCCGCAGGCATGTTTGCTATGAGGCAAGGGTTGGTTGACCTGATGAAGGAGAGCAAGGAAAACAAGAAACCCTCGAAGTATGGGGGAGACCTTATCGATCAATACTTGCCAAACAGGGTGTGGTTCGATTTACCGGATTACTTGGAGCTATGAACTTGTGGAACTTCAAGGGCTGGAACATACCTCAATTCGGAAGTATGCATTGAACCAAGGAGAGGTTAGGACAGCGTTGCGTGGGAAACTGAGGTCGAATCTACCCCGATATGGATTCAGAGAAGCAGCCTTTAAAACGGTGAAAGCATCTAGCTAAACATGACCAAGTCGACAAAAGAACAGGTACGATGCGGGGCGTACTGCAACGTTATTAGGAAGAAGAGCAATAATGTGAGTTTGCAAAACTTTACATCACAGTACGAAAGTCCGTCTCGATTTGCCAATAACAGCGCCTTTCTTGACCCACTCATAGTCGCCGAACTGACTGTCGAAGGTGCCGAGCTGGATCGATTTTAATTTAAGCGTGAATCTTGGCCCCACCTCATTCACTACAACGTGATCCAGCGGTTCAGTCGAAGGACCAACCTCTTCCATCTCACCAGCTTCCTCCTTGTTCACCTTCTTCCTCTTACTCCCCATAGCATCGTTGTTTTTCCGGTGGATGTATCGATAATGACGGAAGAAAATGAAATCGCGCTGATTGTGAAAAACCACGGTGCGGCAGTGCGGCAGCGGCGGCCCTCTTGACGCCGAAGGGAAAAGAGCTCCAAGAATGCGCTCAACACGACGACCCAGAGTAGTCATGAAACGGTTGAGAATGAGGTGAGGAATGACACCCTCTTCTATCCCCCGATTTTTGAGTCCTCGTAGCTTCCGGCGTGGAATGACGTTGGTAACATGGAAGGTGGCTGTGGGTCCATCAGGAAGATGACTGACTATAAGTGTGTTTATCTTTTTCATGTCTTCGTTTACAACTAGAAGAGCTGTATATCCATGCTCAATTGCCTTGGGGATAAGTTTTTTCAAGGGTAGATGCCAGCGTGGAACTAATGTTGTGTTAGGTATAACCTACAGGGAAAAACATGCAATTAACCATAAAACCTAGGAGGAGAAAACCGTTTTAGCTTACTGGAAAACCCCATAAACTTACTCGGCTCAATTCTTTACAAAAACCAATGGTGTGAGGAGTAACCCGATCCGAATGGGTCAGAAGTAACTTAGGCTCAACCGCATTGGAATATATTCTAGACAATTCATCCTAAGCAAAATAGGCCACCATAGCGCACAACATACGTTCTCTTCTTCACGTAACAAATCAGCATCATCTTTCGGAAGGATAGTTTCATCTGGGTTCCTTAGAGTTTCTAATGTGTGCGGGATTCCGGCAATCTTCCCGCTCTTCTTTTGCTCCTTTCTACGTTGTCTCTTCTCTTTGGCTCTCTTCACCCTTTCTTTATTATTAATTTCTCGCGCGTGATGCCGAGTCGTCTCTTTACGATACATAACCAGCACGCCGATCAGGTGAAGGACACACGAGTCTCGAAAGTGGCGCTTCTACAAACACTCAGTCAAATTCTGAATCAAAAGCATTTAGTGTAGTAAGGCACAAAATACGATGTTGCCAAAATTAATATCGCTTATATAGTGACTTTTTAAACGCCACTTTTTTGTCATACTTTGATATTTTTTAAGACTTTAGGTTTATTTGTTAATCAAGGTCGACTGTCCGATGGAACCTTACTCAGCCTGTTTTCGTCCCCTCGTGCAGGGTAAATGAGCATGGTCGAAGTTATTGCTCCTGTAAACATAGCTCTTTTGAAATACTGTAATATTTTGCGTATAATTTGACTTGTCTCTTAGGGGGAAAGTCGGATTACCTAAATATTGAACCGATAACTGACTCTCTTAGTCTCACATTGAACAGCAAGCAGGTGAATATTTATTTAGCTTCTCGTATGCATATTACTTATGCAGTTATACAGTCTAACACAGATATCTCTCTCTCCTGGTGTGGAACAGACATTTACACTTAATGAGAAGTCAGTTTCTTCTCCAATTTTGATCTTGTTTTATAGGCATCAAAATTTAACTAATCGAATGAAAGATGTCATTATTGTAACTTCCTTCAAATTCGCACAACTATGATATAGGCCTCGCAATTGCGCGCAATGCAGAAGGGAAGTTTTCGCAGATTCCAGAAACTCCATATAAGAAGCACAAATAACTTTCCTACTGCCGCTGGGCTGGCATCTTCTGCCTCTGGGTTGGCTTCATTAGGTATGTCTTGGAATTGTCTGATTGCTTGCTGGATTTCGTTTCATCTCTTTTGGAACCCCCTTGCTAATTTAATTTGCAGCTTTTGGACTATCTACTCTATATCATCTGGAGGAAGATATAGCTGCTCTAGCGAGGTAAGCTATTTGCTTAGCATTTCCATAGTTCCATATTATACTCATTGCACCTACGCTATTAGTCCTTTTATTATCGGCATTTTAAGAGCTAATGCCTATTCACTCTGTTAGTTTGAGTCATATTCTGTTTTGTGGGTACTAATGTAGAATACAGTCGGGTACTGGAACTAGACAATAACTCCTGTTTATTTTTCGTGCCCCACCATAGACTTATGTAGATTTTGTTTCTCTTAATGTCAGTTAGATGATTTATTACAATTTAGTGAGGTTAGCAACATTGCAATCGATTCAATCATGTTCTTTCCCATAAGGGATAGCATACCAAATACTCAGCTGACTATAAAAGACCAATCATAGTCTAGATAATTTAGAGTTATCCACCACAGATTAGGTTCTTAAACCATTGTATGTTAAAAAGCTAAAGCACCACGTAAAGGAGATTAAATTCACATTGTGGGGAAACGTGAGACCATGGGAAAACGACTGTCTTTCGAAATGCTTATAGAAGAGGTTCGGGCTCTGCGTGTAGAAGCATGTACGGTGGCGTCGTGCACTGGAAGCGATCTGCAACTGATGATAAGCACTCCTCTTCATCTGTAGAGCAACTCTTTCCTCACACCCACTGGCCTGAACTTCGAGTTCTTATCTGTGTGGTGGGTTTCAGAATATTTTTCTTTTGATCTAATCCACCACTTTTGTAAATGCAATTTTTTAGCTGACTTTAATTCTTTCCACCTGTGTTTCTATCGTGGTAATGGAATCTCATTTTCGTCACCTACATTGAAAATCGTCTCATCTTTACGGTCGCGTAATACTAGCTTGGTGTCTCATAGGGATGAATATACTCTGAATTGAGTACCAAAACATACTCTATATTTAGTTGGCTTCAAATTAATGCCTTTTTGAATAAGACGACGGATTTTGAAACTTGCAAACTCAATTTGGTGCATGGCTGTTATCTAGCGAATGTTGAGAGCCCTTTCGTAAAGTTAGCTGCTTTGGTTAACTAATAACTGCGAATGCTCTCACTTCGAGTTTTTTTTACCTTTTTTACTCAGATCACCTTTCTGGTTCACTTAGGACGCCTAATGTACAATTTTGAAAAGTTCATGACCCTTTGTTTGCGCATGTGAAGTTTAGGCTATTCACGACTCCCAATTAGCGCCATCTAATTGCAACTGTTTATACAATTTCAAAAACGCTATTTCCTTTTCGAAGATTTCAAGGTAGCATCTCGCTGTTGAGCAAACTATGTCATTTAACCGTAAACCTGGGTTAGAGTATCCAAGTTGTCAACATAGCTCGGCCCCTAAAGTTTAGCTGTACTTACAGAGGGCAACCTATTTAAAGTAGACCTTGTTTGCGGGCGAATTAAATGCAAATAAGTCGTCCATTTTTGCTATTCGCGAATTTGTGAAGTGCTCCTCTTGCATTCCCTTCCTTCTTGCCTCAGCGATGGATTTCATTATTTGTTAAATCCCTGCTTTCCAACCTCCCCTTAAAATTCTCCAGATCATAAACCAGTGGATTTTAGTGCAGCCCTTCGAATGTTCAGTGAGTGATGAAGTTCTTCGCCAATCCGTTGTGACTTTGCTATTTATTAACAAATTATTTCAAAGTTTTGCTTTCCTGAAGTCACTCTTCTGAATTCCTCTACGATACTTAAAGGTTGTTGATTGAGCGGTCTCAACAATTTGTTCCGTCTATGTAGATTAACAAAGAGTAAGAATTCAATCTATCTTGATCACGGATTGTTGCCTTGTCGTTTATTCCAAGAGATTGCTGACTATTCATTGTTATACAATAAATAATCCTATTTTAAATCTACCAGGTGTTATGTAACTTTTCCCTCAATAAGAAGTGGCCCCGTTTCGGGTAAAGTATTTCTCTACTCGACAGACACCTAATTGTTTGCAGGCCAAGTAAAAGCAAATTGTTCAGGATGATCTGGCTACCGATAATTACCTTGATGCCAAGGTTATCTATGATCACCAATTTACAACGCTTTTAGAAAGAAAGCTTCCTATTTGTGGAGCCGTTGAAGGGTAATAAAGACTCCGCCCTCATTTAGCCGTCATGAAGTAGCTTGGTGTTGAATGCAGTATCAATTCTAACGTGGGTTCCAGTTCTTAAACTTCTTAATTAATTTGCTTAACTTGATATCTACCTTCCCAATACACTACCGCTTGCTTTTCATCAGACCTCCTCGCATCGAAAACCGGTATCTTCGAGCGAAGCTATGCGTCGCACTGTGGCAACCAGCCCACTCTTCCAGGAGGCGCGTGCCACGGTGGTGGACCAGCGTTTGCCCCGTTTTATCGATGCCTTCGGGCGACGGGACTTTGCCGCCCTCGCCGAGTTGACCATGCGCGAGAGCAACGAATTGCACGCCTTCTGTCTGGACTCCTGGCCACCCGCCATTTACCTTAACTCCACCAGTTTCGCTATCATGGACTTTGTTCATGCGCTCAACCAACATATGCGTCGATGTGTAGTGAGTCGGCTTTATTTCATAAAATTAGGAGGGTTCGGATGAGTTGAAAAGCGGTAGGTTTCCTTTTGTTTGTGTAATGTTTATCGAAAACCCGAGGTTTTTTGTTGGATCAGACGGACACTTTCTTCGGAGTTTCAAGCATTCCAGAAGACCTGCTGCGAATTCTACTTTATATGAAGTATTTGTTTGCAAGTACGGGGGAGAAAAAAATAGTCCTATGCGCAGCCAATTTTATGCCAGTTTTATCTCCGAATTGTTAATTTTGGTTTCCTGCGTGATGTGTTAAGGCTGGAAAAAGGTGGTGATGTAATGAAGGGAATTGGGAGAGCAAGGATTGGGGCTAAGAGATACCTCCGTTCCATAGCAAAGTCCAAACACTCCAACGTCTACGATAGCAAGGCAAACGTTTTATGCCTTCGCGTGCACCGCTACCGCAACTTCGATTCTTGTGCCTGTTGTAAACTGGTGACGCTTCAGTTGGGTAAATTTAATTGATGTTTGATAATATTTTTTGTCTAGTGATTAAGAAGTTATGTCTCATACATTATGACACTCTTCCTGGGTTGTATTCTGAGCTTCTTGTTGCCTTAAGGCAAAAAAGTGGTGGAATTTTGCTGGAAGCCTCGTGTTTTAGTGGGATTGTTTAGATTTTACATACGTTCTACCGAAAGAAATGTGTACCAGACAATCAAGTATCACCCGTAATCTGTCTTCAGATGACTACGAGGGTCGGTCGTTGAGTCGGAACCTTTTTTTACAAAGGAAAGAAACAAACATATAACAGTGAGAACTGTATCCATTTTCCCCATTCCCTGTCCTGACATCCAGTATGCGCCAACTTTTTAAAAAATGGAAATGTTTTGGGTATGGATGTATCAACTCCTTCTCCGAGAAAATAGTCCCTGATACAATTCGTTGCCAGAATGCGTGTTAATCGTCTCCTTTACTCAACGTCTCATACACTTGATGTTCACGAAATCCCCTTTTGTGGGCCGCGAACGGAACCACCACGACCGGGGACTTTATTGGTTTGTATCCACATGGCCATCTTTGAAATATTTGCTTGATGTAGATATCCGCAGGTTTAGGATTTGGCTCTTCGTTCACGATAAACCTCATGACACATTGATGCCTGTATTCACACAATTCCACTCTGTCCGTCATCTTGATGAGCGCTATATGGTGCTAATTGGCCCACGACATGCATGCCACTCACTATTACTATTTTGTCGTCCTTAGGTAGCCTACACCTTCGATGCGGGCCCGAATGCCTTCCTTCTTACACTGGCAGATGACGCACCTCTGGTGCTATCCCTCCTTGCTGAATGCTTCGGCCAAGTCGAAGTGGGGAACGGAGAAGGTTTAAGATGTTATGGAGATGATTTGGATATCAAGAGAGCGCGTTTTGAGACCCAAGCACGTCGTCTTGAGGTCAGAGGCATTCAATACTCCTTGGAAGTCGATTTAGACAATCACAGGGTAGGTTGTTAGCAGGGGATTATGCGATTAAGTAACGTTGATTGGTGTACGTATTGTTCTTTTACTGCTGTAGGAAGTTCTGCGGTCATTGCCACGATGTGCTGGATCTATTCAGTATATCCTTAGTACGGAGGCAAGTTGGCATTGTTGCTATTACTGGTGTACAAAGATTGACACGATTCCTGTTAAAGAAAAGTCTTCAGAAAGATGACGGTTATACAAGGTACAAAGTTAACAAAACAGAGGTAATATTAAATTTCGTAGATACACAAAGTAAAATTGCTAAAATAAAAAAAAAAAGCACGGAAAAAAATTAAAGAGTTAAAATTAGGTTAGGTCTACGTTTTAAGGAAAAGGCAAAAATAAGGATTTTCTATTTGCAAGTTTCAGATTGGACCAGGACCACAGGTACTATCAAAAACGATGTGAAGAATTAAAACACAACGTCAACTAAAAGCAATTTTATTCATTAAACCATGCAAAGGAAAATGACAACGGAAAAGACGCTGCGAAAAAATTCCTACTCAACATATATGAAAATATTCAAAGTGTACAAATAAAAACCACAAAAAAATAAACCTACACGC